TCAGTAAAATACGTCTGTATCAAACCCTCAGCCAATGCTCAGATGAAGTACATTCTGATTAATTTGCTTTTTTCTGACAAGTTTTTGAAATCTGCATTTATAGCTTCTGTTGGGGGTGCTTGCAGAACTTCTAAGCATCACTTCATAGACAGGCTTATTGCATATTTTCTGTTTCCTAATCAGTGCCTACACTAAGGCAGAGGACATGCAGTACTGATTTCTCAGTGCAAATGGTGTTCCTGGAAAATATTTTTCTTAGGTGTAGACCATGAGTTTGAAGGTAAACAAGGCATCTACTTTAGTTCTAATAGTTTATCTGTATTAATTGAACTGGAAATGAAAAAAACACTTAATCCTAGCTGTTACACAGTGGTGGATGGTTGCTAATGCCATCTGCTCTGGAACAGGCACCAAACTGGTTATTCTGGGTGCTCAATCTGTCTGTCCAACTAGCAAAAGCTAATCCCCTGCACTGCCAAGCCCTGTCCTCTGGCTAGGGTGGAAGCAGGTCTGGCTCTGGTGGCATGGTCAGAAACACAGGGTTTGGTTCATTGCTGGTTCCAGCTGCAGTGGTCAAGCATAGGGCTGCTTAACAAATGCTCCCTGACACATGAATTGTGTATCTTATTATCCATTCCTGTGTTCCTTGAATTCTTTCTTTACCATCCCTGCATCTCCATTTCTGTTCCTCAACCGAGAGACACAATCTGCATCTAACTAAGTTGTCCATATATCCATCTCTGGGTTTGTTATTTCTGATACTGCTAACCAGGTAATCTCAGGCTTATGTGCTATTACAGGTGTGGTTACCAGGCATGCTGGCCTGGCAAGGCCCTATTTCCCAGAATGTCCCCAGTGCTCCATTCCAGCTACCTTGTGGTCCAGCTGTTGCTCACACACGTTCCCCATAACCACGTGAGGGATCCAGCCAGGCCCCACAGCACCACCTGTACCTTTTGCCAGCTTCTCACAATATTCCCTCTCACATTCAGCTTTCCACATCACATTCACTTTCTTGCCTGTTAGCTTCCCGACTCTTTCCAGGTAGCTCAACCTCAGACCATGGCCCAGCTGGCAGCTTGATGCCTGTGGTGTTAGCCCCATCCTCCTGCCTGTGGAGTTGTTATTTGCTTGTAAATGATCCATATGAAGACTATTAATATATTTATTGGATGACATAAACCAACTTGTTACTGAAAAGTCTTGCCTTTTTGAGGATATATGACAAGAAAGCCAAGGCAGAGATCCTGTCTGAGCAGTTGTATGTTCTGTTTTCCAGCTAATGCCAAAAGCCAGGGCTGTTTAATAACAAAGCAGACTCAAAGAAGGTGGTCGTGAAATGTTTGTGGATGTCCTTGCGTGTTCCTTGGCAAGTCTGTGGTATCACCTCTAGTACCCCGAGGGTGGTGAAGTGATTCAGCTTGGTTGTTTCTTTCACACCTTCAAGAATGTGTGAGGTGTCATTTTGGATCTGCTAAGCAATGCTGGATGCCTGCCCAAACAAAATTGCTGACCATGGGAACAGTTGAAGTCCTTATGAGAGAGGCTTGGGGGAGAGGGTGTGAAAGCAGCCCATGGCAGAAGCACCCATGAGGTGTTTGCCTGTGTCTGCCCTTCCCTCAGCACTCCACTTTTGCACTTCTGCTGAGCCCCAGTGGGACCAGTTCCTCCTGCCCAGCCAAGGGCAGGGAGAACTGTTCTCCATTCAGGGGTGCTGGGTGAGCTGAAGCACCTGCAGCCACACTGCTTGTTCCCAAGAGAGACAACTGCTGCAGCTCTGCTCTCCCTCCTGCCAGCCACCTGCTCACCTCCAGCTCCCACTGGCAGCCACAGACCTCTGCCAGGCACTGATGGGCTCTGCATGCCCTGCAGGCTGGCATACCTGGGGAAAGATCCTTTATGAGACAGATGATCATGCATGACCTGAGGACCACAGCATTTGTGATAAGGTAAAGAACTTGCTGTGAGGCCACAAATGAGTAGGTAACCCACACCTGAGGGGAATGGGTCTACCTCAGTTTTCCACCTTGAAAACTAAGTGAGATTATCCTAGCTGTGAGTGCCCATTACATTTGTATACATCCATAGACTTCAAATGGATTGCAGCAGCATCACTGCTTAAATCTTCATGCTGCAGGCTAAATTCCTACTGGATTAAGCCTATTAGAGAATATGAGCTCTTTATGCACATTCTCGTTGACCTCTCTTTGCATGGCAAGATTTTGGCCTGTAATTATTTCTCAAATACGTTAGGCTACGTGTATCCTAGATAATAATAACATAATTTATATTACCTACTTTTAAAAGCCAAAGAAATTGGATTTTTTTTAACAGAAGGTAATGTTTAGAGAGAGAGTTAGATACTGAAAGATCTGAAAATATCTCATACTAGAAATGCACAGAAAGCTCTTTTTAACCACACCAAAGAGTCTCATTCTCTCCATATTTTGAGCACCTTTGTCTTCTTTGCATATATAAAAGGTGAAGTATTTGGCTAGTTCCCAGCCAAGACTGCACACCCAGGATTCCACCCAGCTTTTTCACTCCAGTCATGCACACAGTTTTACCTGTTTTGCCAGTGAAGGAACTGGTGGGCTGTGCAGCCTTGGCTGGTGCCAATACTCAGCCTCAAAAATTTGAGTGGTTAGGTGTTGGTGGCCACACTCTGGAATGGCTGCAGAAAGTTTGGCTGAAAATGTTTTCTGAAAAACGTACGAGGATCAGTCCTCTGACAGCATATACATTTCTGCTCTACCAACTAATCTTAACTTATTGAAGAATCAACCTTTTCTTTGATGCATGATGCCTGGCAGTTTATCTCCATCTTTGGGCCACATTCAGGAGACATTATTACTGCAGGCAATGAGAAAAGATATTTTACAGCAGGCCTGATAGCTTGCATAGGTATTCAGGGACAGACCAAAGATCAGTGCAATCCACGAGCATTTCTGAAGAGCTGCATGTACTGTGTGGAAGAGGAAGAGACTCTGTAATGAGCACATTTCAGGAGATCTACAAGTTCTGAGAAGACCATAGGTATGCCCCCCACGAGGTCTATTCTTTTAGTCAAGTGGCACATTCTGTGAGGACTCTTGTTTTCTAAGGAGCAGCCTTTGGCAGAGGTGCCATACTCATGGAGCTCTGGCATCCACTGCTGTGCTGCTAAAGCAGGTGTGTGTATTTGGGAGGCATTTCCACACACATACAGGAGGGTGCTTGTACACAAATGTGTATGTCTGTCTCTTATGTGGCTGTGTTCTTTGAACTGATCCAGTATCACACTGAATGAATGGGAGGTGGGTAAAGCCTACAAGCCTACTCATGGGAGTACCAATTTGCATGAGCATGTCCTTGTTTTGAAGCAGACTACTGTTCTCAGCAAACTGCAGCCTTTTCCTTTTATATTTTTCAGTATGAAAACACTGCATATACTTTGCCTCTCTGAGGGGTTCCTTGTGATACAAGAAACGCATCTTTGTCAGTGCTTTATGTAGCCTTAACACCTGAGGAAGCAAATGGCAAGCACTGGAGACTGATGGTGCTCAGCACACTCTCTTGATCAGCCCCATAAGCTGTGTTCTCTCTTCCTGCTCTCTACTTTATCCCCAGTGTGTATTACACTTGCCCCAGCTTTGCAGAGATAATTTGCACTCTCCTAGTTCATTAGCTGCTACCCCCTCCTGTCCATGGGCAAAAAAAAGCCCTTACTGTTCAAAAGAACACATGCAGCAATCATTAATGCTGACCCTAATTGTGCCAATTCAAACCACTCAATAGCTCTAATTAAAACCTCTCTTGTGCAGGGCACTGAACAGTAACAAAACTGTCACCCTGAACAATCAAATCATGGAGCTAAGAAATTTTTTCCCCCTGTTGTTCAAATGTTGTTGCTGCTGTCGGAAGGGTCATCTGAAGGGATTAAGTATGGGGCTTTTGTAGCCTGCAAAGTTGGTGGGAGTAGGCGGGGGAATATCTAAACCCAACCAATATCTTTTGGTCACAGTTTGAAATCAGAAGACGCCAACTTTTTTCCAGGTCTCCTTTCATCCACTTTACCCACCCCCATACAGCAAGCAACACCTGCAAAGTAGACAGGCTGTTGGTTATGAGACACATGGACACCACAAGTCAACTTAAACATCTGCAAAGGAGGGGGTGAGGGGGAAACCCAGGCGTTCCTATCCCTACAACCTTGTTTCTCAGGGTCCCTGACTACACTTTCCTGTGTGCCATAAATAACTCTGCAATTACATTAATTGGTTGCATATTTGTTGACACAGGGGTGGACAAGGGTAGGTTATGGTGGGAGGATTTTTTTGCTTTCAGTGCAATTTTATACTACTTTCTTCAGATGTGCTTTAATCCCCACTCTCCCTCCCCCCATTATTTAGAGTTCTCATGTCTTTCGGAATAACTTTATAAGCCTGTGGGTGGGAGGGGGGAGCAGGAAAAAAAGAGCGTTAAAATTAATTTGATGGCACCCATGCACACACATCTGTTCTGCTATGTTTCCCTAGCAAAGTCTATCAATCAAAAAGAAAAGGTTGATATGTATCACAGTGGGATATTTCAAAAAGCTGGATGCAAGCAATTGTGTGCTGGAAGGTTTTATTCTGCAGCGAGTTTCTGACAGGAATCAAAAGATAAAAATAGTGTGCATGTATATCTATATTTTATTTTACATGTCTCATTTTTTTTAAGGAGGTAGTGAAATTAATAGAGCAAAAGAGTTAACTCCCAAAATTCCAGTCTCAGTATCTTTTGTTCTGTTTATTGTTGTGCATGTTCTGAAGCCCAAACCTGGGATCACATGTAAGAGCCTGACAATGCTGCAAATACTTTTGTATCTGTGCTTCTATTTTAGATCATTACAGGAACACATGCTAGCTACCCTGTGTGGTTCATCTCAGAGTACTCGGTGTGGGGTACTTCACTGAGTCTTTCCTTCCAGTGCCTCCTTGACTTGCTTTCTTTTGCTAGTAGTAATCAGAGTTGCAGTGAGAAAGTTTAAGGCATGTTGTGTTTCATCTTTCCTCCTTTCTTCTCTTCGTAGCTGCTGTCCCAGCTGAGAAGTAGGGAGTGGGATGACACCATAGAGCACTGGCAGTCTGCCTCTTCAAACACGCTGAGCACTTTCTGTTAGAAACCACCTTCGTTGTTTCTTGTTCTGTCTGCTGGGCTGTGCCGTGTGCTGTTACAACATTGCCTTGTCTCAGCAGTGAAGCCCTTTCATTTAGCCAAGGATAAAATAGCCCGTACTTAAGAGTACAGCTTGACTCAGCCTGTAAGTATTCAGTGTTGGTTAGTGACGAAGCACAAAATCTTGATGTAAAAAGACACGTTCTTTATGTATAGAAGCAACAGCACAAAAGCTAAGAATGTTTTTAAAACATTTTGAGGTGAACAGTCTCCTCTTGTGCAAAACTCTTTGCAAACTTGGCCATATGAGCAGATAGGTTCAGGATACGGTCTATTTTCACCAGTTTGCCTCAGACTGCGTGAGTACTAGTCCGGAGTCAGCAGGAGGACCACACTATTTTCTAAAAATGGGTGTGGTGCGCTGTGATGTGTGAAGGTGCTGATCCACTTCTGCCCTTGTGCCACCACTGAGTGGTAATGCAACACTCTATATTCAATAGCAATGTGCTCCTACAATGGGATGAAGAGAAATAGGTGACACTACTATACAGCATTCTAATGAGTGCATTTCAGAGCAAGGTCCCTTCATCAGCAACACCGGACAGAAGAAACCAGAGCTCTTTGACAGTTTCGTTGTCTGTTGGGGGAAATGGGACATAGCAAAACATGCCTTATACTTCTTTACACTTGCTCAAGAAGTGGAAAAAAGGCACAGAGAAGGGTTTTTGACCAGTTCTAGGGGCTTTTAGCCAAGCTGAGAACAAACTCTGGGACCCTAGTATCTTGTCTAGCTTCTGGAAAGCAGCAGCTTTTTCTGAGCTGACTCGTGCCTGTCTTCATACAGGAAGCTCTGTGTGTGTCTCTGTTATCTGTTGAGCTGAGGGTAGGGGATTTCTGCGAAATACACTGCAGTGTAGATTCCCATCGCTTTCTCTATGGATCTCCCACGGTCCTGTCTGCCCTTCAGTCTCATTCCTTGCCCCCACTTTCTGGGCAGCAATGCTGGAGTCTATCCTCTTGTATAAGCTGTTGCACTTTAATTTTCAACAGGCCCCTATTGCTCTTGCACCTTGTGTGTGGTCTTTGAACGTTATGTGGCTCGGCAGCTGGGAATAGTGAGTGGGTGGGCAATTTAAAACAGAAAAGACTCTGTATCAGCACAGGGCTGAGGTTTGAACTCTGCTCAGCTTTGGATACGTGTAGCTGGTTCTCAGGGCTGTGATTTAAGTGCCGTTTTGCTGGTGTCAGTGTGAAACTTAAATCAGTGTTAAGAAACTGGTAGGGAAGAAAAAACAAACTTTGCCTGTCCGATAACAAGTGTTACTCTTGGCCCTGATGAAATATTGCAGGATCAAGGCATCTTAGAATGTATTCTGCTGTTTTGTCACCACTTTGCCTCCACAACTAAGAAGACAAAGAATGTCTATTTTGATGTCAGGGTTTCTTTGCTGGAGTATATTTCCAAGCTGTTTTATGTCATTTAGAACACAAATCTGATTCTGAGTTTCCTGAAGGTATGGGATGCTAAAGGAGAGAAGCAGATGAGGGGAGTGCCAACCCATGAGACAAAATACTTTATTGCACTCATCTGAGCGTTTCTGTGAGGCAAGGTAAATGTGCTCAAGCAACAAAATATAGTCCCAATATCATAACTTGTTGAGCTCACAGGGCCTGGTCCTCAGTTGCTTCCTTCTACTTCTTGTCGTTGTCTATGCTGGCGGAGGATTACATGGAGGGGAGGCCAGGCAAGAGACCCTGCATTCCATGAGCCCTGGCCTGATTCTCACACAAATTCTTCTTTTGCACTTTCGATGGTGAGCCCACTCTGCATGGGCAGAGAGTTCTCATGCATGGGAGATTCACCAGTTGCTCTCCTTTGTATTTGCAGCCCAGAGTACCAAGTCCTCCAAATTTCAGTGCAGAGGTAGTTTTTTCCCGCACCCACTTTCCATCTATCCCACCCAGGTAGACAGGATGATCAGAAAGAATCCTTGCCTTGATAAGATTGATAAACGAGGTTGGAACAGTTCTCCTCTTTTCTGGAGTCCATATGGAGTCCAACCCAACTTCAAACTCATAGCTGACAAAATAGAAAAAAATTGGCAAGTCCCTAAGTACTTTGAAAGATTCTAAAGGTTAAAGATATGGTCGATTGGCATTCTGTTTAGAGCCTGGAGTGATGTTATATTTGCTTTACAGAATTCAAAGGAATGCACAATTAACATTAGAAATCTATTAGATAGATATTTGGAGTCATTCACCATCACTGCAGTGGGCCTCATATTGATTTTTAGCATTATAACCTATAACTGGCAAAACATAAGTAAGAGTAAAAAGGCCAAAAAATGAGAATATCCTTGTTTCCAAAGAGCTGGCAGATTACAGAATAACACAAGCTATGTCGTAGTGGTTCCACCCTTAAAAATAGGTATGTGCTGAAGTACCATGAAAAACATCCTGAAGATCAAATGAACATTACTGCCTCTTTACTACATCTTGCACTTCACTTCATTCCTTTCTTTTTGGTTTTGTTTTGTTCTGTTTTCATAATAATACTGATGTATGGACATCAGCCTCTTCCCATGATGGAATAATATAGGTGCATGAAGTTATGACTGGATATTAGGATCAGATGGGATGGGCACTAGTGAGAGATGAGAGTCTGGCAGTGGTGGGAACTAATCAGGACTACTAGCAACTCTTTGAGAAACCAAAGTAGTGCAGCCAGGACCAACACACCTTATAGAGAAAAAGTCTGAACAGAATTTCTATATGAAGTATAATGGCAGACTCTAAATGGATCTAAGGGGAAAAGGTTTGAAATCCTGTAATATTTTTGACAAAGCTTTTTGTTCAAGTATAAGTGAATATTCTGTGAAGAGCTTCCAGGATAAAAAGCCCAATAGAACACTTATTTTTTTACTAACAGGGTTTCTGTTTTATTCAAGCATATATGTATACGTACATATAATTAGCTTCCATAAAAAGCTGAGAGTCTTTTTTTTTAACATAATCCAGTAAATACACCCCAAAACATGCTGAACACCCCAAAGCAATGTGTTTCTGCTTCTTAACAAGTGTGAATACTTTGTGCTCAGCAGCAACTGACTGCTATTCCATCATGGGAAGAAGTTGTTTGCCATACACCAGTATCACTATGAAAACAAAAAAGAAAGGAATGCAGTAAAGTACAAGATGTAGTAAAAAGCTGTGTTGACAGTGGGATGACACTGTAAAATTGCTGTATGCTGTGATTTGAATCTTTTAGAACCCTTTTAATCAATGAGTCAAACTTACTCCTCCCTGCACTCCCCTTACTCTACCTATGTCTGGGAAGCTGGGGAATTGTATTCCTCCTCATTTGAGGCTGACTGAACAGACTGTCTCTTCTTGTGGCTGCTATTCTTAACTTCATAGGGTCATGAATGTGCTCAGCTGTGGCTTTTTAGTCTTTGCTCTGGACTGCCCCAAACTTGCCTCTAGATGGAGATTTGCAGGTGTCAGCATGGTAGAAAACATCCCTCTGCTACTGCAGGGTCTCAGCAATTAAGACCTGGCAGCAATGGATAATTCTCTGATTAAAATGGTCCAAATGGTTTCAATGGGCACAAAGTTACAAAAAGAAAAAAAAAAAAACACCAACAAAAAAAAGCTCTAAATTCTGCATTGTTACAACCCACAAAAACAAATCTTAAAGCAAATTTCCCGTGTTCTTCTTTACCTCTTTTTAAAAATTGTGACAACAAGTGACATCTATTCCCTATTAAAAGTTGAATAATCATTTCTACTAAACATATGCAAGAGGGTATATGTGCCCTGATGGAAGCTGTGGCAGATAAAGCCCATGATGGTTGAGTGCCAAAAGTGTTTAAAAGAGGACAGTGATCTGAAACCTGTTTAGGACAAGACAAGTAGAAGCAGAGGCAAATAATCAAAGCAATCAAACAGTTCTCCCTGAACAGTTGACAAGACCACCAATATACACGTCCTGTGCCATGAGTTTGTGGTGATGCATGTGATATGCAAGCACCATAGCAACAAGATATTAATCACCAACACAGACAGGCAGAGGTTGGGGTAAGTCTTCAGAGGTGCAAGTCTTAGGCTGTATCTCGTGTACACAGCATGCCCCAACGGTGCCAGCTTCAGTGCTACCTTTCCAACATTGCAGAGTTGAATTCATTATGGCTGAGCTTACCTCTTCCTCTGAAGGATCCATGTGTTGGGCCTGGTATACAAATGCCTGGACATGAAGAACAACTTCTCTTCCAGTTCTGTGTCCCTCTGTCTTTGCGGTTTTCAGTTACAGACTCTGGGCAAGGTCTTTGCTAGTGAGACATCACTGATCGAAGTGGCACTGTGACAGAAGTATTTTGGCACTCTGAGTGATGGCAGTGTTTTTCAGAAGAGTTCAAGTGAGAATATTAGGTTCCCAATTCCTCTTATGTTTCATCAATAGCCTTCTCTTTGGCTCATCAACATTTCTGTGATGCCACTAATGCCCAGTGCTGGCACTTCCTACTTGCCAGCAACTTGAGAGAAACAAGAGACAATTTAATGGCCCAAAGCTTTCTGTTCTTGTAGTTTATTCTATTTGCCTAGATTTTTTGTTTGATGATGGCACACTAGTAAAGTGCACCTATACCAACCAGATACCAGGCCTAGTGTGCCAAAGAGTTAGGCACACATTTTAAACGGCAAAACTGATCCCTGGAAAAGACCCATGTATTCTCCCTCTTAATAGTGTCTTTAAACAGAGCTTGAATGTCTCTCCAGCCTCCTGAATGGTGACTTGAGATTTTTGGCCTTGGAATAGCTCATTATAATTTAGTGTGATATGTAGGCCAGGCTATGAAGTTGCTTCTGCACTAAGGCAGTTACTATCCACAAGGGAAATATTTCTCCCTACAGAGAAATACCTGGCAATGGCTGGGATTACGTGTGGCAAGGTTATGAACAGCTTTGACCATGAAGGGGTCAAAGGTTTCTGTTATTGGGAATTTCTGACCCTCTCTGCAACTTCTACTTGGTGTTAAGATGCTGCTGGTGTTGGAGCCTCACAGGCATTGATGGGTAGGTTTCTGGTGTAGCTGGTATTCTCTACTAGGGGGTAAGAAAACAATTACTTCTTCATGGTGGTAAAAAACATTAATTTAGTATAGAGATCCTGATATGCTTGTGTTTGTGCGTGAAAACACCAAAGAAAGGCATTCATGTTAAAAGTACAAGTGATAAAGAACGCATGAAGGCAAAACACGAAATAGATCAGATGCAAAAATCCCCCTATGAAATTGGAGAGGAGAATGTAGGCAAGTATAATATTGTTATCTGGACTGGAATTTAATCAAGACTTAACTATGAGGTGATGTGGTACTTCAGTGGTGGGATCACTGCTCAACAAAACTGTACTAGATTCTGCCTATCTTTTCACAGATTCAGGTGTGCACCAGTATAACTTGCTCAACCTCAATCGAGCTGATCCTGATATCCACAAGGACACTCATATTCAGATTTCCCAGCTCTTCCCCTCCTCTTTCCTTCAAGGTCTCTCTGCTCGTGCCATGTGGAATGGTATATGTTCAGGTGTGGATCAGAGAGACTTTGAAATGGAAAATCAGAGGATACCACAGGCCATACTGGAAAAGAGCTGGCAAAGCTTAGAACCAGGCTGGCAGAGTGGTGAGGGTTAGGACTAAGGTAGGCTTGTAGGGGGTGCTGTGTTTGGAGTCCTAGAGAAATCTCTAAGCCAAGAATAATGAATACTGGCAGAGCTCCATATAAGTAACAAACGGCTTATCCTGTCTAGGCTAATGACAAAATGTTACATATTGGTATTTTAAATTTTTTTTTAATTTTTTTTTAGGGAAAGAAAGATTAAAGCAACCGCTATACCTAACCACTCTGCCTTGGTCTGATAAGATGCCAGAATTACATGACTTCTACTGTGTAACAAGGTTCTTTGTGTGGGCGTAGCAGCCCCTCCCCATACCTAGCGGATACACTCTAGGGAATTTTTCAAGTGCGAGTATTGCCTCTTGTAAGGTCACTGAGTAAAGAAAGTTAATATATTGTGTGCAAAAATGTCATGTTTTGTGTGTTTCCATAAAGGCACCACAAAACAGCCCTACCTAAAGGTTATTATCACTATTACATGCACAGCCATGACCTCCCATGCGTATTACTCTGCAGTATGTTGGGCCTCTGCCCCACCCTCCATTAAACTCAAGGCAGTAATTTGAAAACTAAGGACTTGATCTTGTGAACTAGACTGGCTTGCATTTACATATCTAGTGCTCAGTCCCTCTGTCAGGCAGAGGGCTTGGCATTACTCGCTGTCTCCAATGCTCAGGGTCTACAGCTTGCTGCCCTTACAGTGTCATGGTACTGCTCCCTCTTTAGACAAGCCTGTACACACCAGGCCTTGCTGGTAGATCTATCTCCATTTTCCCCTCTTCTGCTTCTGCACCACAGCTGCGCTAACTCGCATGTATGACAATGCTCGTTTTCTACCTAAACTTCCCATTACTGAGTGCCTGGTGCTTGGATGAACTGGGACCCACATGCAGTCTCTTACAGCGTGTCATCTCAAGAGGTACCAAACTTGGATTGGGGTATTTTTTCCAGGTGCAAGGCATGTATTACCAAGGACCCCGAACACATCACCGGTGTGAGATCTGAAGGATTTGCTGGGCAATGGGCTCTGGGGATGCAGCTGGGAACGCAGAGGAAGATCTTCACGGACAGGCAGACTCTGTGGCTGTGGGTCAGCCATGCCCCGTACGGAGGTGACACGAGGATCTGCACTCCCTGCGACAAACTCGCTCCCAGAGCAGCCTTGGCCCCAGAGCGCAGGACCAAATGAGCCCGGCTTGTGGACCATGCGGTGATTTCCTATGCCCAGTTTACTCGATGGCTCCCCCGGCCCGGTGCGCGGCTCAGCTGTCACTGCCCCCGCCCGGGGCTGGGGCCGGCTATGTCCCGCACGGCTCTGGGGCGGGGAGTGCCGGCCGTATTCCGCGGCCCTGCCCGGCACCCGCGCACACGTCCGGCCGCCGGCATCCCCAGGTGCCACCGAGGGCTCCAGGTGCCACCGAGGGCTTCAGGTGCCACCGGGATCCCCAGGTGCCGCGGGCACGGCACGCCGCCCGCCCCGCGCCCTCCGCCGCGCCGCCCGCGGCCAACCTGCGCCGCCCGCCGGGTGGCGGGGCCGGGCGAGAGGCGGCGCGGCCCCGCCATTGGCAGCGGCCCGCGGCGGCCGCACGGCGATAGGCGCTCGGCGCGGTCAGTGCCGGCCGGCCCCGCCCCGCCGCGGCTTTATAACGGGCATCCCCATGGCCGAGGCGGGGAACCTGCTGCGGCGGCACCGGCACCGCCGCACCGCCCGGGACAGCCGCCTCCGGTGGCCGCAGAGCCGCGCCGCCCCGAGGGACGATGATGCCGCGGGCCTGGCGCAGCGCGGGGGCTCGCCCGTTCCTGCTGGCGCTGCTGCTGGTGCATCTGCCGCCGGGTCGCGGCCACCGAGCCACGGGGCCCCGGGTAAGTGAGCTGCCGCCCCGGCGAGCAGGTTGCAGCCCTGCCCCGGCCCGCAGCCCCTGTCAGCGCCGCAGGTGGAGCCCCGGCCCCGGGCAGCGCCCCCGGCCCCGCTCCCCACGTCGCGCACCCCCGCAAGGGCCTCCCCCGCCCGCTTGTTAAAAGCCGGGTATGGGCTGCATGCGAGGAGTTCATACACGGGTATTAACTTGTTGGGTTTTACTGCAGGAAAACACGGGACGGGGGGAGGTTGGCAGGCTGTGCTTTTATATTGCTCGACTTGTGTTTAATGTAGTCCCTGTTCTCAGCACATAGCTTTAGGACTTTTCTTTTTTTATGCTCCCGAGCAGGGATTAAATGAATCCTTGCAATAAAGCTAGATGCCTTCAGTCCAGGCTTCTCCCGGTAGGAGTCTAGCTCTGTTTTTTTTAATCTGACAATGTTTGACTCTTACTGGGGCTGTTCATTTCACTTACAAAACTATTACATTGCTCTGGGGAAGAACCCAACATTTTTCTAAATATGGTTCTACCAGTGAGTGAGTGTTACCACTGCAGCCCCACTACGGAGTAGCGTGAGAGTTTTCAATTATAAAGCTGCAAAACAGTAGCTGTTCTTCAGCCAATGCTGCAATGAAAGCACAGCTCTGGGGAAGTGGAAAAAAACTCACCTCTCTGTAGGCATGTTGGATGCACTGGCCATGTGCATTCTTGACCCAGCTGTCTAAAATGCTAGAAGTATATTACCTAATTAATTTAGACCATAGTTAGGCAAGACCAGAAGTCTTTGAAATCCCTACTTAGCCAAAGTATAACAACAAGGAACTTTGGTGAAATGTTCTTTTTTTTCTAGTGGAAGTGTTGTTTGACCATGATGGCTGTTAAATGCTTCTCAGAGCTGTGGAAAGCGTACTACTGGCTGCACTGATGTTGTTGTGTTCAGCTGTGCTGTGTAGCCTCTTTTATGGCCAGATGTGTAACAGCAACTGTTAGTTCTGATCTCACTAGTTCTAAGTCAGAACTGATGTGTGCCATAAATTACTGAGACCTGCTTTAAAGGATCAGGAAACACAGGGAGGCTTATGGATATATCTTTATTACCTCATATCAAGCATAAACCTCAAAATCAGAGTGATTCCAAATAGAGAGGATCTTTAAAAGTGATAAGTAAGAGTCTGGCTGGATGACGAGGGTCTTCATCAGCACCAGCATCTAGCTGCTTTAATGAAGAGCAGTTGAAACAACAAAATAAAAAAAAATCCTGATGGTAGTGCATGATTGTACAATGAGCCTGTATACCAAACAGTTTTCATATATACCATTTTTTATACTGTACTTTACAAGGCAGTTTAATTGCTCCCTGTGCTGTGTTGTCTTGGAGTGGGAGCTACTTCAGGAGAGTGGAAAACCAAATACAAAGGACCACTGATTTACTTTTTGCTTGAAGTAAGTAAACTGACTTTGCTATTTCTTCCTTCGTGACTGGGGAGAATATCAGCTGTGAGCGCTAACATCTGTAGTTCTGCTGGAAGATGTGCCTTAAGGTTTTAACTTAGTCTTTTAACTTAGGAGCTCTTAAAAAGAAAGCTGTGTATTTCCAGGATGTTGTACTTATGAAATCTGTCTTTTTGCCCCTCAAAGTATCCTGATTAAGTGTATATGAAAGTGAGAAGTTTGGTTTGCTTGGTTGCAACCAGGTTGATTGATGTAAGCCCCCGAGCTTCATCTCTTCCAGCAATTAGACGTTGCCAGTAAAATTGTCATTAGTATAAATGTGGCATACTTTATGTTCCAATAAAAACAAAAATACTTTATTACTAATTTCTTAAATAATGGCTACCATGTATGTATTTCTCATGGGGACTTGTGATCAAGAGTGTATTCCTGTCAGGAAGTCTCCCTGGCCAGGTGTCAGTGTTGCAGTTCTGGGGATCTGATCTTGTAGATGCTTAATTGCTAAGTGTGATAGCTGCTCTTTTGCACTCTTTTCTGTATGGTAAGCACTAGAACTACAATATTTGCAAGCTGAAATTCTTATAAAGGTTAACAACAGTTTTTAGTCCTAATCAGTGAATTCAAATGACCAGCAATAATGCTTGAATCAAGTTCTAGATTTTCCTCCTTGAATTTTTCTTGTTACAGTAGTGTCCTAAGATAGGCAGTCAATATTCTTACTAAATACATATGCAGAAGAGAATGGCTTGCTACTGTTTGCAGTAAATGTTGAAAAACTAGAGGTATTGAAGAGAAATAGGTGTATCTACATCCCTTATGCCAATAAGGGATGAAGCTTTCAGATTAAGTGAGTTCAGGATAATTACTTGAATACCAAGGTAAATTAAAAGTGCAGCTAGTACCTACAGGTCTGTTGAGGAACTTCTGGCTCTCAAAAGATGTATGAAGCTTGCTGTTTCTTGTTATAGTGAAACTATGAGCAGTGATGTGAATTCCTTAGGCTTGGTGTCAGTGACTTGTAAGAAACATCTGTCTCTTGCATATATTCTGTTGCCCAATGACAGTTAATAACAACTGTCCCAAGTGAAGCCCCATAAGAAGTCTAATATCTTGTCCTAGAAATAACTTGGAAGCCCAAGGCTGCTGTGTGACTTGCTTCCTCACTTGACAGACTCTAGTAAAGCTTCTGCTGTGTTGCACAGTCACCTGGTTGCTTCAACTTTTGCAGCTCAGAAGAACATTGTGGGACCATACTTGGAAAATGTCTGTTTGAGGGATGCTGCCTTCTGGAAAAAGATAATCAGGCTTTATTTTCTATTCATATTATCTTCCTATTTGCCTCTTTCTCTCTGCTGGCATGAGATCTGGGGTGTGTGACAAGCCAGGTCTTGCTGTTTCCTCCCCTTCTTGAATCTAAAGCAAGAGATGGGGAGCTTGACCAGGCTGGCTCTTGCATCTCCTACTGTGTGGTGCATTTAAGCAGAATTCTTTTATAGCAGATTAAATAGATTGTGCCACTAAGCTTTGTTTTCTTCCATCTGGCCTTTGTTTTTTCTAGTTCAGGGAGAGATCTGTGTTGGCCCTCTGCTTTCTGAATGTAACTCCTGACCATTGTGACAGTAATGACAAACACTAGCCCAGAGAAATGGTGGATGCTTGCAGAAGGCACACAGTGTGACTGCAGCAGTCAAAAGCTGTCCTATGAACGGGCTTGGATTTCTGGAAGACTGGGGACCTGCACCCCTCCACTGACTTCAGAGGACTAAAAGATGATAGGAAGGGAGGACAGGGTAGTCACTATAACTCTTCCTAGTTCTTCTTAGTTTCATGCATGAAAACATGTTGGTTGGAGATGGGGGAGGACCTTATAGTTCAGGGCTGTTGCAAAGGAAAGTAGTAAATAGTACAACTGTGAAGCTACCAACAGATTCCAGGGAATAAATTGGAGTGCCACTCCAATTTAGCATTGGGAATTTCCCGCTGCAGTTGGCTACTAGCTAGAACACCAAATAAGAATCTTGGTAAAAAGTGCTGAAAAGGCTCCTGCAGCTTTGTTCTCCCCCCTGGGAGGAGGAAGCACCACTGCAGCTTATGCAGGAGTGGCACAAGGAGTGTGTTCTGCTCTGTGTTCACTGCAGCCCCACAGGAAGGGTTCCACAAAGCAGGTGTCTTTATGCATACCAATATTAGGGAGCCTGTGTTCTGTATGGTGGGAAGGAATTACAAAAGCACGTGTAATAAGAATATAAGGTAGAGGACTTCATACACAGAAGGTCTAGAACAGAAGAATGAACGTTAGGATGGGTTTTCAATGACTGAATTTTGTTTCTTGTTTGAGCTTAATCACCACCCTGCATTGCAAAGTCTACACTAGTAATTAGCAATTGAAGCACTTTAATGCTTTTAGATTTCTTTACCATTGGAAAGATTCATTTAATGAAGAAACAAGTACCCAAATGCAAGTCTTTAGAAAAGAGACGGGACAGTTTTGATACTCTATGACAAACGGATGCGATGTTTTGGTTGGGTGAGGGATGTTTTTTACCCAAGTGGAAGCTCTAATTATATATGGAGCTATATTGCTTATTTCTCCTTGCTAACCTTTAATGTTAGCTGAATTCGTTTATGTTACTAAAGAAACAGCTCTGACTTGTGTTTTTTAAACAGTATGCAACTGTGTTGAAGAACAGGCTTAATTCTTGGGTAGAAAAGTATTAAAACATTATGTTCTTATTGGAACAGCAGGACCTGTTCTAAACAGAAAAATGCTGTAGTATTTTACTTGCTTTTTGTTGTCTTAGAGTTGCTGTTTTAACTGCCTGAGCTTCAGAGTTGGCTACAATAATATTTCTTCTCATGTTAATGAGCTGTGCTGTCAATGAAAGATTTCTGGCTAGCAAAAGTTTAGGTACAGAAAAAGAAATTGCTTATGTATTTTTGCTGGTGATGGCAGCAAGCACTGTAGCTGGTGGAACACCTGCAGTGATTACCTTAGCACACTAGAGCTAGAAACTAGAAAACTAGTCCAAGAGGTTATCTTCACAGTGCAGAGCAGATGCTCTCTTGGCTTCTTTCATTTCCAGATGGCCTGAAGCAATTGGTAAGATGACTGTAAACTCATTTCAGTAGTGTAGTAGCTCTGAAATATTAATACTGCTATTTAAATATCTTAGATGTTCTTATCCTGCCATCTCAAACTAATTGCGACATTACTATGTCAAAAAAACCCCAAACAAACAAAACCCCATTTGTCTCTTACTTGGCTGGTGAATCCCAGTTCTTCTGGTGCTGGCACATCTGACAGTGCAGTTAAGTGTTACGCAATAAGCTTTATGCTAACATTAAAAGCTAAACATGGAAGCAACACAGGTGGAGCTAAAGCTGATCCCTGAAGGCTGCTGTGCTGACTGTCATACTTAAGCATCCTGTGTGACAGTGTGGTGGCTTCCTGATAGAGTCCCCTGGCAGCTGCCACGAGGTCTCTGGTACTGATGCACTATGCAGGGCCTTTGTGGCACAGCAGACCTTGAGCCAAGCTTGGTGTGCAGTGGG